TCATGAAATTTGGGGGAAGTGGTGATTGAATGCATATTGTGTCAAAGCAATGCAAACGTATACATAGTTTAGCTCACATGGTCCAATGGTATGGTACATGTCTTAAGTGTTGTGAAAAAGTGGACATGGTATTGAGACACGCGTTAAAATGATTGGAAAAAACTGTAAGTAAGTTTACTTCCTGAACTCATTCAAACTACAAATACATTTTTATATTCCCTTAGTTCTATAGGCTTGATACTTGCCAGTTGTGTACTATTTTTATATAATAAAAAATATTTATATCGTTCCATCCAGAGTTTTTAATGAGTTTTATCACGTTAAAAAGCATAATGAACAGCAAAACTTAACTCTTAAAATCAGCTGAAGGCAACACAGCAAAATAAGATGCCTGTATCAAAGTATGTAATCCGTAGCTTTGAAAATCATGCACCCTTATTTTAAAGGGCACTTTACCATGGGCTGACACATTAACGAGGGAAGTTTTAGACGTTTTTCAATAGCTTAATTGTGCGTTTAATCCGTTACTTCTAAAGCACCTTAATTTAAAAAGTAGGCATTGCTCGCCGTTTAGGGTGAGAACAAGCAAAAGTATTGGGTCTGTGTAAACACAATTCAAAGCACTTCTTATACAATATTTTGCTCCCCTGCAGCATTACAAAATAAAGTGACAGCAATTATGCGATGACTTTAAACCCGAACATTTTTACGAATTTCTCTATTAATTTCCCTTGTAGAAGAAGTCATTATAAATCCACGCGTGCACCTTTACGGGGTCTTTGAAGTTAAATGGTCACACCGGAACAAACTGGACTTCACATATCAGCAGTTTGAAGTTGGTGAGCAATCACAGGGTGTTACCTTTCGAAGGTGTGTCTGGTGTCTCGCTGGTTATACGCTCGCAGTTTAAACACGCCGTGTTTGTGCACCGGTACCCGGACACACACCCACACACGGAATTGTTAGTCGAAGTGCAGTCTGTGATGTACATCATATCTGCAACGACAAATACAGAGATGTTGTAAAATGCAGCGTAAATGTAGTATGCTGTACAAATGTGCGTAAGAGAGAATGAAATGAGGCACAGGAGCGTGACTTGAGAAGACGCTGAAAAAGCAGACATATTACATCAACTCTGTACAGTATGACTCATTTCAAACCACCATCTTAAGAGTTTCAGGCGCCAATATCGAAATGTGACTTTCACAGCGACCTGCTTACTTAGTAGATATTAATAAACACGGTTTCTACTTTTTCCTTTTTAATTTTTTAAATTAAATGTCTGTGTGTGTTTTCTACAAAGATGTATTTTAACGTTAACGTAAATTTGCAGGCTATGCTAGTCCTATTCATGATAATAAGCTATTGCAGTGAATCATTCAGCATTGACGACTGATGATTTATGCTTTTTTAAAGCTCTCAAAGACAGTAATAATGGCTTTCCTGTTTCTAGTTATCGGATGTGCTAAATCACAATTTTACTTAATCCCTTTCTGTCTGACTGGAGCCCACCCTTCAGAAACAGGGGGGAAGTCCCTTCTCCAACTGTCTCATGTATGGTGTTATTTTTTTACTGAGACTTTTAAGATTCTGCTTATGTCTTGTAAAACCTCTAAAGTTTCTTTCTCAGGTAGGCAGAATAATTTAGTCACTAAGGCAAACTGGCAACAGTGGTCTGCTGACAAGAAGAGAAATTCGAATTCGAAACTTTTTTTTTTGACTCATGCATACTTTGATATAGTACTTACATTTCATAGTGCAGTCAAAGCATGGGTGACATTCTCTTTCCTTGTTGTATGTGTCCATATAAAATCCAAGACTGCACTTTTTGCATTTTGTGTTTGGGGGTTCTTTCTCACAGGAGTTCTCTACCCTGTGTCCTGTAATTTGAGGTCATCGTCGTAATTATAATCAGCAAAGTCTTATGTGAGGTTACATTTTCACAAAACAATGTTGCATACAAGCATGCACACACACAACTGTGATCGTTAATTGTCTGAGTTAAAGATTAAATATGCTTTAACAATAGCTTAATATTAGAGAACACCATCAGTCAACAATGAATACCGCACAGAATTAATCAGTACACAAGCATTAAACATTTGTTTTGTTGCATAAATATGAATAATTACCATGGAACTTAACAGCTATGAATGTATTCCACTTGTTGAATTAAACAAAAACATAGGCTATAGTATATTGTATACATACACAACACAAAACATTGCTCTGATAACAAAGTTAACTCACTTAACACTTACCTGGCTCACAGAGGTTACAGCATGTATTTTTTTTCTCGTACTGTGTTTGGTTGTCACACTGTAGTGAATTGTTAGGAAAGAAGACAGTAAAGCAGGTAAACAGGAACAGGAAAAAGATCCTGAAGACCCGCATCTCGATCTGTAGCTGCCAGAGAAAGAAAGAGCACTTAGAGAAAGAAGACATTGGAGGAAGATAGTCCTTTCACCAGAAACAAAATCAGCTATTTCACTGTCTCACTTTAACAGCAAATCTTGAAGGCATATCTCAGCTGACTACAACAGCCTCATCCTTACACGTTATGGCACTGTGCGAGATTCATCAAGGCATCATACCATGTTTTACCAAAGCAGCTAGACAGACCTAAAACACTTACGAGAAGCAGAGACAAAATTAGATCAAATGAATTGAGATGGAGAGATGTGATGGACTAAGACTGATGATTCTGACTAAAGAGGCAATGATATGTTAACCAGCTTTTGTGAAATGTCAAAAGATGAGTCATATGTAGAGTTTTAATCACCTTTCTGACGACCCCCAAGATGGTATATCTCTCCATCTGTAAACGGTCCTCCTCCCCCTTGTTTTTAATTTTCTTTCCACTGCTCCCCAGCTAAGCTGCTATGCATGGTTTCTGTGCTGACATGGTGAAAAAAGCTGCTTTTGGGGTAACAGGTCAAAATTTTGACAGCAGGAGACTTAGTTGATATTTCTCGTCTGCCTGTTGTAACACAACTCTGGTTGTCTGGATCTTTTGCTGTTGTGTTCGGTCTTTGAACTCTCAGTCTCACCAGACTTAACGACTATAATCCTCAGTTCAGACAACGTGCTTTCTGACTGTGTTTGTCACACACTCTTGTTGTCATTCATCTCCTTAGGTGGAACTAAACTACAAGCCCACTGATTTGCAGATTTGCTCCGATATGTATATTAGACTACTGCTACTAAAGCCTGCTGGCGCTTCTGGGACACTGCCCACCAGCACAGGCTCTCCAGATGTCTCTGTCCTAAGCTTTTCTCTCCAGCTGGCTCCAGGTGAAGCTAAGTGTTCTTCTTGCCTTGGGGCTTCCAGGATAGACCCTTGCTGGTGATATTGTTTATGATCTGATTGGTTTTCTGTCGAAGAATCACTGTTACTGATGATGTTGGATCTGCAGGATCCTCCTTAAGCAGGCGTTAATGAATGTCTATATTTTCTTGATAGCTGGCATTGTTGTCCTTCACATCACTGGCCCATAAAGGGCTGATTTAACGTTGGTGACCTTAGCTCACAGGAAGAATGCTGCTCTTACACTGCCAATCCTTGTTCTTGTGTAAGTGTCTGTGCCGCCTTGCTTGGCATTTATCATCAAGGTCGATAAAGCACTCTACCTCTTCTATAGTCCAGAGTTGACTACACTCTGATTGTGACTCTTTATACTCAATTGGTTTGTTGAACCAGAATCTTAGCCTGGATTTTTATGTTCTGGACCTGAAATGTCTCCCTCTGTTGTAGTCTCACCTTTCAGCCTGACTAGGTCAGTGCTGTTTGAGTTGGTATTGACAATCTTGAGGATACTAATGTTAAGATCAATTAATTGCAGAATCAATATTTAATGGCTTAAGTAACTTAAGTAAAATTGACTTCTTGATGAATTTCCATTCTAGCAGCTGTTCAAGCAATTAAATTTTACCTCAGCGCCTGTTGGCAAGACTATATGTAGTGTTTAACTGCTTCTCTTGGTCAGGGTTGGGGGGGTTATACGGTGTGCCCAGAGAAACACATGGCACAAGGAGCACATTTAATGTTATACATACAGAGTGGGGGTGGGATTTGAAACCCCAGTGTAATGCAACAGTGATAACCAGTAAGATACTAGGTCATTTCAACTGGAAATGGTCTATTGAAACATCTATATAAATAAATGAGTAAATCTCCTGTCACCTTAAAACTGTCAATGACGGCATATTTGTCTGAAAACTGCTCTGAAGATCTCACCAAGAAGTGAACCACACTGACTCAGAGGCAATCGAGTAAAGCCCACCTACCTGAAAGAGTTTCCCCTAAGCTGAAGTATGATTTCTTATAATCATTTATACGTATGATAAGCTTTCTTATTGTGAATACTGTTATTCACGTCAGTGTTGACTATGACTATGTGATTTGTGAATCAAATAAAAACGTGATATTTACTATATGTTTTTATGTAGTTCAATAATTTTACCTTTTTGGCCAACATGGTAGCTTAGTGGGTAATACTGTGGTTGAACCCCTCCTGGGTGGTACTTCCTGGAGGCAGAATGGTGCAGATAAATAAATGACTTTTTTAACTTGAAAGCATAGTTACTGTAGAACAATCATATTTCTACTGATGCTTATGCTGGTGCGTCATTGCAGATAGAATTGTCACATAATAGTCAGGTTCTTCTTATCTCAGAATCTGCAATGATTTTCAGTTCTTGGCCAGCTGTTCAAGTAAATTCAACCAGTTTCAGTATTTGCATACTGGAAAGGAGGAAAGGAGCTTACATACAAAACCTGGAATCAGTTATTGGAATTGTGGCTTTAAATAAATAATGTTTTATACTGATCTATTGTCTTAAATCATACGTTAAATGATAGTACACTAAAAGAAGTCTGCGTGTTTCAGCATATTTAAATGACAAGTCTTTGTTGTGGTAAATCTAGTGCTGTCAAACGATTAAATTTTTTTTATCAGATTAATCACAGGGTTGCTGTGGATTAATTTTGATTAATCACGATTAAATATCATTCATTTTTAATCTATATTAATCGCATTTAATTTTTGCATGAGCAAACAGACTCAAGAAAAAAGGGAATATATATGCACTTAACATGTTTATTGAACATCTTGAACATGAGTTGGATGCATTCCATCTGCCACATAAGTGCAATACCATGGACCCATATCAAAAAACAAGATTTTTTGCTTAGCTGACAACTTGTCGGATTTAAGGTACCTCAGTTTAAATGGTCTTTATCTTCGTTCACTTACAATTAGCCCGAACTACCGTAAATCCAACCAATAATCCGACTAATCATGAAATTCAATTCTAGCCCGGTTAATTGCCATTGTTAGCAATATCAGTTGATAACACATGCGCGGTGCTTTACGTATAAAACTCCGTAGCAACACGTCCACAGATAAGTTGGATGGTATAGTGTGTGCGACCGATTTAATGAGCCACAAATGAGAAGTAGTGCTTAAACCAGGGGTGCCCAATCTTATCCGCAAAGGGCCGGTGTGTATGCAGGTTTTTGGGATAACCTGTAGGTCAGCTGTTCAAACCCAGGTGTGAGGACTCTTCAGCCAATCAGTCCTCTAATTAGTAATCTAATTAGGGAGTTGCAGCGAAAACCCGCATACACACCGGCCCTTTGCGGATAAGATTTGGCACCCCTGGCTTAAACAGTATAAAGCTACAACTTTCCCTTCTGTTGATAAAGGGTGCAGCCATCTTGGATTCTGAACTCGGGATCCTCTGTGCTGCTCCGAGATATTTCTCGGATCTCCAAGAAACTGGAGTGCGCATGTCGTCACTTCCGGCTTGAAAACTCGGAATCCAACTCGGAATACCCGGGGCAAATGGAACGCACCAAAACTGCCTGAAATAGGTTGACAGAGACATTTCAGGGATTTTGAGTCATTCTGCGCTGCAGATGGGTTAATTCCGTTAAACATTTTAATCAGATTAATGATGATGATGGATTAATCCGCGTTAACCCGTTAATTTTGACAGCCCTAGCTAAATCAGATATAATAAATCACTCATTTAAGTATACTTGCTTTACACTGTCTATGTAATCACAGACCTTACAATGTATCGTAACATATGTATGCTGTAAACTGGTGTAAGTGATTCATCAGGGTGAACACCTGAACAGATGTGACGGGGGGCACCAGTGGCGTTACCAGGATGGCAAATTTTTGGGGTGGGGAGGGAATGGCAAAGCTTGTTGTTGGGGGGGAGGGGTGGTCTAAGACTTTGCAGCATAATGATGTGGTCAAGGTGTGAAAAGCCTGAATGACTGCAGGATTTAATGTGACATTCAGTGATTAGTGTTCTTAGAGAATGATGTCACCCCATGTTCAGTCACATTAAGCCATAGCTTTGGACTCATTGCTATAGAAAGCCCTAATCTGTTCTGATATGTTATATACGAAATTAAAGCTTTCCTTGAAAAAAAGAATTTTTATGAAGCGACTCAGTGATGCCAGGGAACTTGGGCCGTACTGTGAGTATTTTTCTTCTCACTTTACAGATAAACGTATTTTTATTAGCAAAAACCTTAATACAAATGAGGAAGTATTGCTCGTGACCTTGTGCATCGCACACGGACATTACTCGTATCCATTTTTAAATAATTTTGCTTGAAAAAGCATGTCTGCTGCTTACTTAACTTTTTGGATTCATTGGATTCAGCTTTTTATTTCTACGGTGCGTCATTCAATGTGGCAATGTTATTATCGCGTGATATGTGTTAATTATGTTACAGTTTTTTCCAATCATTTTAATGCGTGTCTCAATACCATGTCCACTTTTTCAAAACACTTAACACATGCACCATA